ATATATATTTGGGTGGATCAAAAGCTTTTTCTTTTAAAAGAAACCTGAAAATTTGACTGCAGACACTGAACCTCTGCAGGTGTAAGATTTAAACTAAACTAATGACTTTATTCAGAATATAAATAATCAGTTTGGTCCAACTTGTTGCAAAGTCTAAAATAAATTTTAACAATTCCTCCCTCAGTGTAAACATCTGTGAAGTCGTCAGTAAACATTTATGATGGAATCGGCCAGGAAAAGTGTTTCGGTGGAGCTTATTGAGTGAATTTGTAAAACTCAGGGGGAAAAAAGAAGAAAGAGACAAGAACACWTATTTAAGATAAAGCTTATTTTACTGGGGCTGTACGACATTGACAAAAACTGACCCAYGATTAGACATTTTCCATTTTTCTGACCCTGCGATTTAAAGTGCAACGTGAAAAAAAAAATACAGGAATTTTCAACAGATGACCCTTTCCGTTTTGCTGCCATTTTTTTTGATGATTAATTTTTTTTGTTCACATTATGTTTTTGTCTATTTGCGCGTTATTCTGTTTTTTTTTTTATTTTGCTGGGACTTGATGTTTCCATCAGTGAGTGTCAAAAAGAAATAAAACAACATTTAACAAGATTTAAATAGTATAAAATATGAGAAAGTTTTTGTWGTTTGACTAACTTCAAACAGTATTCATAAAAGTACAAACTTGATCTAGAAATGCTTTTATTCTGAAAGGGGRAAACAGGAAATATTAGATGGAGCTAGAACTCTGCTGCTTTGGCCAGATGATCCCACCCACTTTCAAATAAACCAATGGAAAACAAGAGGTTTGCATCTGTCCCACCTGTTTAGCGGTTAGCGTTAGCTTCCAATAATTTTTTTTATCTGTTTAGCAGATTAGTGTTAGCTGAGTTAAAATTCTTGTTTAGCAGGTTAGCGGTTAGTGAAGCTAACATTCTGGTTAGCTATGCCCACACCCTTCTACAATAATTATGTTTTATCATCTAATGTGTTGCCGCCGTCTCTCTTATTCCAGTTTCTGTCACGCTTTAATATTAGCATTCATGCTAACTACTTTTCCTCTAGTTCACTTCAAATAAGCTCATCTTCCTCATTTTTGTCACAGTACTCATCCTTTTCTTCCACAGCCTGGGAATTTTCCAACAACACTTATAAAATATAACAATTTTTGTCCCAGAAGTTTCACAAAAAAATGCAAGTTTTAGCTCTTTTGACACAAACTCATCAAAATAAAAGCCTGAACACTCAACCATTTGGTGCAGTGTGATAATCGCACACATAAATTGCGATGATCGTGCAGCTCTAGTTTTTAGTCACTTTGGCTGTTTTTGTTGATGGAATGGTCACAAATCTTTGCTAATCTTTATTTATTTATTATTATTTAAATAATTTTTTGGACAAGATTATGTTAATAAAAACAGAATAGAACTAATAAAAGGAAGAAAAAAGAAACTGTGGGCAGTTTGAGTTTAAATTAACGGGCCGAGCCTCCCCGGGCCCCCCTCACTAGCCACGCCCCTGATTTTTGCCCACTTTTCAGACTCATTAAGTAAAACTTTAAAGAACTTAAAGACTCTTTCCTYCTGTTGATGTTGAAAGTTAAAAGCACTCCTCCTGTATGATTAATCAGCTCCAGGAAATAATTGCATATTCATGCTCAGCTCAGCACTTTCTCCTCTCTTCTCCCCCCTCGCAGATTCAGAACCGGCCGGGGGCTGGTCCTCTACCCTCAGTTAGGGGACAAGATGGACATCGTGTGTCCCCGGGCCCAGGCCCCCGACGGGGGCAAAGAGGAGTTCTACAGGGTCCACCTGGTGTCCAAAAGCCAGCTGGAGAGCTGCAGCGTCAACAAGGCCGACGCGCCTCTGCTGAACTGCGACAAGCCCGAGCAGAACGTGAAGTTCACCTTCAAGTTTCAGGAGTTCAGCCCCAACCTGTGGGGTCTGGAGTTCCTCAAGGGGCGGGACTACTACATCACCTGTGAGTGTCCCCCCACGAACACCTCGTCTTGCTGCCAGTTCCCGCAGGTGGACCCTGAATCGTCTCAAGCGTTTCGAGACGAGGCCATCATCCTCCTCATCCTCACACTTTGTCAGTTTCAGTGAGAATCAGGGAAACGTGGCTTCATTATCGCCGCCGCTGTCGGTTAAAGCAGCATCTTAGGGGCCAGCGATGCATGAGAGAGAGAGAGAGAGAGGGAGAGAGAGGGAGAGAGAGGGAGAGAGAGAGAATCCGTCTCGCACACGTCGCTCTCCCGGGCCAGGAGCTTACATGCTCCAAATCACACGAGGCTTTTACAGCATCAGGCAGATTTGACGGGAGCTTTCAGTCCAGCTCGGCTCGTAGCCTGCGAAATGTTATCTGACCTAAATGCTGCTAACAAGTCTGTGTGTGTGTGTGTGTGAGAGAGAGAGAGTGTGTGTGTGTGAGTGACAGGGGTGAACCAGAGTCCTTTTGGTGTGGGCTGATCCGGGCCCTCCAATAAGACGCTGAGTTTCAGCTCTAAGAGTTGCTTCTCAAACATGTTTTATTCATTTCATGTTTTATTCCAGCGCTGCACGCAGAGCTGAACTCATTATTGCTTCTGCTCAGATTATTAGCTGCACCTAACTGCAGGTAATCCGCTCGACAAATCTGCAATAAACTCTARGCAGAGGCTTTAAGAGAATATTTCATCTTTCTGGAAAAAAGTTACAAATATCTTACCTGCTGCAGATGGCTTCTTATATAATCTCAGTTTGGAGAAAGGGGTTGTAATTCCGGCAGGATGGATGAGCTAATAGCTGGTCTGAGCTAACGGTTAGCAACATCTCCTGCTCTGTTTGCAGCTTAGATGGATTTTGCTTGAGGACTGAGTGTTTTAGTACGGGGGAGGGATTCATAAAAAATAAATCCTTCTTCTTGTTTGAAAGAATGACACCTGCTTTCACAACAACCTTCAAAAACACCAGAAAAAAATCCCCTGATTTGTCTCTAGGTGTCTAAAAACCCATTATAAACAGTGACAAAGTCATTAAAGGGGAATTCCGGCTAACCAGTTATCGCAAATCCCCAGTTCTGCAGGCTGGACGTTTGTGGTGGCTTCAGCTTCTGGCTTCTGGACGAATGTTGCGTGTCTGTTTTTTGTGTTTGTAACGATCAAAAAGTCGCCCAACTGAAGGCAGAATTACGACATCAGGTCTTCCTGATGTGATTGTGGAGCATTGGCAGAGAATTTGTTTTCAGTTGARGATGAAGTTGGAAGAGGAAGATCTGGTTATTTCTGTTAACGGAGGAGAAGCGCTGTTTTGTAAATTTGTCACGTAGAAACTGCCACCGTTTCTGACAGCTGCTCCTCAGCAGAGCCGAGTAGGGGTCTCTGCAGTACACAGGGGGAGTTTCTTCGCTGTGTGGGCGG